GTTATGCTTCAGAAGATTGGAGACTGACGAGAATTAGGCTTGAGATGGATTAATGATTGTACATTGAGCGTTGACCCCCTTATACTGAATTTTATTGTTGTTAACAACCATTTGATCAATAAATATGAGAGATGCCCTCTCAAAATAATAATAATAATAATAATAATAAAAACTACTCTTGAAAACATGAATTTAAGTTAAAGAACTTTTTCATTAAGGTTGTAAAAAAGCAAGAACTTTCGCAACAAAAAAATCCAATTCAAAACGATTTTAATATCTACACACCATAGCTATGTGACAAAACTTATCAAGAACACATTCCTCCTTTCCTTAATATCTGGGTGATATTAATAGTCAAAATACTTTTTCTGCTGTGATTAGGAAACTATTGTGATGATGAGGAAGAAAAAAAACTCTTCTGAGTTATCCACACATATGCATTCAACTTTCTATTTGGAAATATGAGTCATTCTGTCTTAAAAAAAAAAGACCTGACTATAACCACTTTACAAAATAGGAGAAGTGTACATATTTCTAACTTCTTACATTTTCTTAAGAAGTTTTCTAATGCAACACCTAACAAGAACATTTCTTCCAATGCTTAATGACAAACAGTGTTGCACTTCAAATGACCCTGGACATACCTACTTTTCCTCATTAACAAGAATTTCTCAATGGCATTGTCTGCAGTGAAGAGAATGATGAGTACAAAATACAACTGTGTGCATGCAGAGCTAAACTTCAATTAACTGTAATTCTTCTACATGTTGTTCTTATTAGAACATTGCAAGTTATAAGACAAAACATCTTTTCAGAACATGGCATATTACAAAACACTGCAGATTATATGACGAAACACCTCACCCCCACATACAATAGATTATACAAATTTCTAGAGTGCTTAAACACAAAACCCACCCAATTTCCTTTGCTTCTTACCTGAGGATAATTATTGAGGAGGTTCAGAAGAATTACCTTTAGGCCCTAAAAATCAAGATGGCATTATTTTGAGTTCTGTGTGTTCTACGTAACAAAGGAAAGTTTTTTAACAGATAAAATGTTAACTACACATATATCTAACTTAAAGCTCTTCAGGTTTCTGTTTGTTGAAGTAAAAATAAATAAATAAGTAAAACTTTCTGATTTAGCATCATTGTTTTTCTACCATTAAGCAACCTTTTTGGACTGTACCATTCTGCTGACTTCCAAGTCTAAAGGTTGGTTTTCTATATAATCAAGATGTAGAAGTCAGTGTATAGCTACAGCTAAATAGATCATCACAATGTCGGTGTAGGAAGCAAATGACTGAAATCCACACACTGGATCGTGCATACATCCTTATGCATGAATTTCAACCATTTACTTCGAAAACCACATTGTGTTTTTGCTGAGGCAAATTGTTCGATCAGCATACTGTCTAACACATGACATTTCAGGGTCTCAGAGTCTTTTTTCCCCATTTAATACATGAGCTCAACTTGCTTTACTGCTCTCAGAGGCATCATCATGCTCTTGTTCTATCATTCCCCTCCCCCGAAAGAGTACACAAAACAATGATTTTTAAACATTTTCTACAGAAACCTGTCCTCAAGCAAAGATTGCACAAAGCTAAAATTATATGGCTACTTAAGTGTCACAAAATAGCTTAGAGCAAGCGATGCTCTCAAAGGGGACGTGCTTGACTGAAGGGAAGAAAAGCACACGTCTTCCTTTTCCATCAGTGCTACACGCTGCCACACGCGCAATGACCCCGCAGCTCCACACAGGCCGTGCGCCTCCTCCGCAGGCCCGCATCTCATCTTTAAGATGAAACGTGATGTCGTTTTACCCAACAGCTCGGAACTTAATCGCTTAAAAGCATGTGTACAAGGACAGAACTCCATCACTGTTTTAACTACCACTGGAACTACAAGCAATTAAAATCAGTTTAGGGCACAAAGTTAATAAAATTCTGCCGAGCATTTCTAAACAAATTGGATTTTGGCAGAGAACTCTAGGTTAACACCCTACCTCTATAAATGCTGCCACAGAATCCTGAATGACGATACAAGGCATTCATATTTAAAATCTTAAGGATCAAATTCCAATGCCACAGATGCCCACACCCTAAAATTCAAGCAGTTTTAAACATGATGCTCTTCAAGGGTAAGAGAAAAGATTTGCCAACCGAATCAGCACCCTTGATTTCCTCATTCATTTCTGGTATTATTTTCTGTATCCTTGATACAGAAGGTTAAATTTCTTAAAAACAGGCTTCATTCTGTGTCCTGGCTCAGACATCACACTTGACACCCTGAGAGAATCTGGGGTTGCTGAGAGTTCTGAACCAGCAAACATCTACTATGGCTGCACCTTCCACCCGAGGAAATCTATGAGAGATTTGGAATGCCTCAGACTTAATTTGTTTGCTATGTCCACGTTCCCCATGATAATAAGGGAAAGAAAGAAGATGAGACTAAAACTATTCAAGATTTAGCAAACACGTGAGGACCAAAGTAAGTGTACAGCTGGTGATACATACTGTCAGTGTCCACTTCTATGAACCAGAGAGATGTTCCAAACTACAGGTTATTCATAAACTAGCCAAATAAATATTACATATTTGAGCTAAATTTGGATTATAAGAAGGAAGCAGTTCTAAGGCATTTATCTGTGATGTAAAAGCACAATTCATCACCCAGCAAGTAGACAGATACCGAAACTAATTCTGAATGGACAGCGGAAACAGCCATTCTATCAAAAGACCACCAGGGGGCACACATAGCCCAAGACTCCTGCCCAAAAATAAATTACAAAGGGGGGAAAAAAACACATTTTAAGTGTGATGTTTTACTTTTTACCTTTTGATGATGTTTTTGTCTACGAAAAATAGCTCCAAAAATATTAAGAAAAGGAATCGTTTCATTTCTAATAGAAAATACTGTTAAAAGGCATGCAGGTATTATTTCAACAACCTAAAGTTACATATTCGACACAGAAACAGTAAAACATCAAGCACACAGCCAAAATATAAATGTATATTTCCATTCTGTAGCCCCGAAGGAGTTTCTAGGAAAAATATGTTTAATTCCAAACAGTCCTATGGAAGAATATTCCTGTGAAATGATGTAAACACTGATTTGCTTTCATTTTAGTATTTTGTTTATACATAAAAACCAACTAATCCCTTCAGCAAGATGCTTGGGTAACATGAGGGTCCTCATTAAAACACATTATTTTTGCTTGTCCTGACCTCTCAGGCTGCCACTCTCCCAGTGAGGGTGTACTTTTCTCCTTACTAAACAAAACTTGTCTTCTATCTTAAAAAAAAAAAAATTATTTTGGTTGACAACTTCACATTAGTAATCATTATCTTCTGGTAACATTATGACTGTTGTGTTGTGACACAGAGTACTTTAAACCCATGTATGTAATAAGTGAATAAACATAGACACAAACAAATAATAAACATCCACACATGAACTGATGGCACCAAAAACATCAGTATGTTCTTGAAGCTAAAAAATAATGTTCAAATTCATCAAGAACACTTTCAAAGGGACACAATGTGTTATTTTTCAACTCCAAAGGAAAATTAAAGGGGCTAGAAATTTCTGTACCAACCTGCCTTTTGCTGACTCCTGAAGTGGCTCTTTTGAGGTTCAATGACCTAGAAAACCTCAGCGCTTTCACGGAATCCTTCCGACAGGTACCAGAAAAGGAGTAATAATACCTCTTTGCAGGTTTCCTCCTCACTCCGTCTGCCATCTCCATCCATTAGAGAAAGGTAAAACGCACAGAGACTAGGATTCCAAAGCTAAGCACAAAATAAAATGGTCAAATAAGTAGCCCCCCAAACCAGATATTCAAGCTGTGTTTTGCTCAGTCCTCTAGAAAGGGTAACAAATTGAAAACAGGTGGGAAATACAGAACAGAATCCATTCCACAGAAGTAACCTCTGAGGCCACACAAACTCTGCACACGGCAGCCTGGATTTCAGGCTCACCCGGGAGACAGGGGCAGGCTCTCCACCAGCAAATGGAAGCAACCAGTTGAACAGGCCAGGGGTGGTTCTTCAGGAGCAGGAAGGATGTGAGTAAACACAACAGTTCAGAGACAGCCCTTTAACTCATTCCTTGCCAAACAGAAGGCTATAGGACAGGTCAAATCATAATTCCTACTTCAAAACAGGAGTCTTCTGAGCAGGACTATTTTTTTAAGTTCCTTGAGCATTCTCTCCATCTAGTGGATGAGAAACAGAGTGATCAAATACTCAAATGTATACCTTTTACAAAACTATAGGACCAAATATTCACAGGAAAATTGATCAGGAGTCTAGAACACCTCTCCTCTGTCTCAGAAAAAAGAGGGAGGGTGTTTTTATGTCCTTTCAAAGATAACAGAGCATCTTTCCTCCACTTTCTCTCAGGTCTATCTGAACAAGGCTAAGTATGAGGAGAGAGATGAAAATAAGATCTAAGAAAACAGAGAACTAGGATTCTAGTGAATATTAGATGCTATGAATATCTGCACCACAATTATTACTCACAGTATTATCAATACTACAGTCTCACAAAACTCAATGCTTTAGGACCCCCACAGGCCTAACCCAAAGATTGAAAAGGAGTACATTCAAGGTAATATTTTTTAAGTTTGCTAATAATCTTAAGATTTTGCGATGTTTTCGCAAGCAGCATGCATTTTTTTAAAAAAACACACACATTAAAGAAACTACATAACTTAAGAAACTATATAATCAGACATTAGCCTATACCAAAATACCTAGCTGATAAATAATACAAACACAGGAATTTTAAAGGTGACAATACTTAACAAAGAGCTATGTATTGCAGCACTGTTTAAATTGTTAGCCCAGACTCCAGTGAAGTACAGAAATAGAGTAAGCTTTTGGAAACTCTCACAGTGATTTGACAGAATCAGTTTATGTCTGTTGACTCTAATTACAGATGGAATAAAAGCAAGCAAAATGGAAGCCAATTTTTCCTTGTAATTAATTTACACTGCATTTTTACAAAAATATTAGTCTGCGACAGATTGGAGAAAGAAGACAAAGTTAGTCCTTCACCAAGATTTCACCATGACAGACTGACAAGCAGCACTTAATTGAAGTAGAATATCTTTACCTAAGACTCCTTTCTAGGAGAGAGGTAAAGTCAGACTGGCACCAGGGAACATTTGTGATCTGGAAGCTGACCTGAACACACGTCCTAGCTACCTAGCCTGAATATCCCCACCTACAAATGGAATATTTCTTGCTTTAAAAGAGCTTGGTATTACTTTAATTTACACTAAGGAAAAAAAGAAATAACCAACTTATAGAACATGGAATAACACCAAGCAGAAACAGTTTTACTGTTCTCATCTTCCCATTTTACACTGGATCCTAAAAGTGAGCATTCCCTGTTCATTTCAATATCTCAAGTTCTGTCTGGAATGGAATACATGCTCAGTCAACATGTCTGGGCTGAATTAAAGAAAATGCTGCTGCTACAGAAATATAGATGCAGCTTTGTTTCACTGTTAAGTTGCTAGAACGGAGAAAACTCTACACATTACTGTTAATAAAAATGTCTCAGAAGTCATTATTTGACTGTCCCCTTAAAGAAGTGTGCCTTACCAACTTTTTTTAAGAAAGTCAGTTAAGCAATATCCTAGATGTCCCAATTCAAGAAATATCATAAGTCTGAAACACAGGACACAGATTCCACAATTCCTCATTCAAAGTGAATTTCTGGTTTTACACTATGTGTTTTACACTATGTGATTATAAAAAATCAGCTCCTCCTGGATAGCAGTCAAGCGCTTTCCAACTTAAGGTCTGTAACATTTAAAAATTCTGAGGTTTCTGAGTGCTGGTTTTCTGTACATATCTTAGAAATAATACTACCACTGGCTCATGACTGAGTAGGTAATCTCCCTGCACTGTCTCTTTCTAGCCTTTTAAACTCTGTTGTTTTTCTCAAAAATCTAAATTTTATGTTAATCTCGTTCAGATGTTTTGATTCAGGAGAACTTAAGAAGTTCCTTTTTCCACACTTCATAATGCGTACTTTCCAATTAAAATTTAATAGTGTTTTCCATCACAGTCAAGGTAAATATTAAGTCAAGGGTGTGCACCATCAGAGGAACCAACAAAGATTATTAGGTTGGAATCACTGCAAATTTTTGCCACGTGGAACATTATTTGTTGCATCCCTTTAAATTCCATCTATTCTCTGTAGTGGTAATTTCTAAATTTGTATCCCCAACTCTCATCTTTCCTGTGAGCTTCAGACTTGTATATCCTAATTAACAAAGGAGGATGTCCTCCACTTCGGCAACCACCAATCTGTTCTCTGTATCTATGACCTTGGTGTGGTCTTTTTATGTATGTGTTTGTGCACTTTCTTTTTTAGATTCAACATAAAAGAGGGATCATACTTTGTCTTCCTGTCTGATTTATTTCACTTAGCATAGTGCCCTCAAAGTCCATCTATGTTGTTGAAAATGACAAGCTTTTCACTCCATTTTATGGCTGAGTAATATTCTATTGTGTATATACCACAATTTATTTATCCATTCATCCATCAATGGACACTTAGGTTGTCTCCATATCTTGACTATTGCAAATAATGCTACAATGGACATGAGGGTGCAGATATCTTTTCAAATTAATGTTTTCATTTTCTTCATAAAGATACTCAGAGGTGGAATTGCTGGATCATATGGTATTTCTAGTTTTAATTTTTTGAGGAACCTCCACACTGCTTTCCACAGTGGCTTCACCAATTTACATTCCCACCAACAGTGTAGGAGGGTTCCCTTTTCTCTACATCCTCACCAACACTTATGTTCTTTTTGATGATGGCCCTTCTAACAGGTATGAGGTGACATTACATTATGGTTTTGCTTTGTATTTCCCTAATGATCAGGTATGTTGAGCATCTTTTCATGTACCTGTTAACCATCTATATGTCTTCTTTAGAAAGATGTCTATTCAGATCTTCTGCCAATTTCTTCATCAGATTTATTGTTTTGTTTTTCACTATTGAGCTATATGAGTTTTTATGTATTTTGCGTATCAGCCCCTTATCAAATATTTGATTTGCAATTACTTCCTTCCATTCAGTAGGTTGCCTTTTCATTTTGTTGATGGTTCCCTTTGCTGTGCAGAAGCTTTTCAGTCTAATGTAACCCCAAAAAGATTTGGGTTTTATATTTTGACAGTATAATAGGATTAAGAGTACAGGCTCTACCTGTTTTGCTCTTCTACTATAAAATCAGGAGAAAAAAAACATGGCACCCTCTACATGATTTCTATCTTTTATGAATAACTGTCAATAAATGAATGGGATGATCTTGTTTATGTCATGTAATTACTTCTCCAAATTTATTCAGAAAATATTAATGAAGAAGAAAATAACAGTCATTTACCTTCCTCCATTTTTTTCCTTGTGTGACAGTAATAGCTTATTCCCTACCTGAAAAGTTGAGTTTTACATGTTTTACTCAAGATATAAGAGAAAACAAAACTCAAGCCAAATGTTTTAAAACACATAAGAAGCAGCTTTTGGTAGCATTTATTCTGGAGTACATATTTTGAGACGTGCTGTTTTTCTGGAGAATTGTCATGTTGACCAGGTAGTATTTTAAAACTGTAAACAAGGCTTACTTTTTTTTCTCTCCAGCTTTACTTAGATGCAATTGACACACTATATTGTGTAAGTTTAAGGTATACACTGTTACCTAATATCTGCATCACATCACATAATTAACGTTCCTTCTTTGTGGTGGGAACATTTAAGATCTTCTATTTTAGCAACTTTTAAAGATATGATACAGTATCTTTTTGAACTACTCAGCCATTGATGGGCACTAGGTTATATCTTGGCTATTATGAATAATGCCTTAGTCACCATGGGAGTGTAGATATCTCTTTGAGATACTGATTTCATTTTCTCTGCATATATACCCAGAAGTGGAACTGCTGGCTCATATGGTACTTTCAATTTTTTGAGGAACCTCTATACTGTTTTCCATAGCAGCTACACAAATTTACATTCCCCCCAACACTGCATGAGGGTTCCCTTTTCTCTACATACTCAACAATACTTGTTATTTCTTGTCTTTTTGATGACAGCCATCTAACAGGTATGAGGTAGTATCTCACTGTAGTTCTGACTGGCATCTCCCAGATAATTCGTGAGGTGGAGCACCTTTCCGCGGGCCTGTTGGCCATCTGCATGTCTTCTTCGGAGAAATGCCTATTCAGATCCCCTGCCCATTTTTTAATCAGATTCTTTGTTTGCTTTCAATTTTTATTATTTTGGATATTAACCCCTTATCAGATATACGGTTTGCAAACGTTTTCTCCCCTTCCATAGGTTGCCTTTTCATTTTTTCGATGGTTTCACTTTGCTGACAAGAAACTTTTTAATTTGTTGTAGTCCTATTTATTTTTGCTTTTGTTGCCTTTACTTTTCATGTCAAGTTTTTCGTTTTTTGTTTTGTGTTGCTTTTTAATAATACTGTCCTTGCTGGGTCACAAACACTAAACATCAAAACTGAGATACTTATTTCTTTTCTGTTTTAGAAGAATATGGATATTGATAGTGTATCGGGCATCCTCAAATTCTAAGGATGCAGAAAATAATGTATTTCTTTCAACAACTATTACTGAGCACTCATGTACCAAGCTCTCTTCAAATTGGTAGGAATGTAAAAATAAGCAAATGAAAATGAGTATCTAC